CACGGTACCACTTTGGTGAAATCTCTTGGGACCCTAAGACCAGATAGAAGCCAATGCTTTTGTCTTACTTGGTCAAATGGGGGATCTTCCTCCTGTTAGCTTCTTACTGCAGATAGAGTGGGACGTCCTATTCCCTGACCCCTCCACATATCCCTTCTGCTCTTCCTTCCTGAGTTTTTTTTTTGCCTATTAATAACAATTCTGGGTTCTTTAGGGATTTCCTCATAATTTATTGTAAATAGTGCAAGTATTTTAGGAAGGAAGGTGGCAAGGAGTCAGGCCCTGTGATTTGATTCATGTGGGCGATCTACCAGTGTGGAAATTCCCTCCTCTAATGCAGCTGCCAACTCTTCTATAATAGCCAGCTGGCTGGCCCAGTGGGTAGAGCATTGGGCCTGGAGTCAGGAAGATCTGAGTTCAAATCTGGTCTCAGGCACTAACTAGTCATGTGACCCTGGACAAGTCACTTGGCCTCTTTCTGCCTCAGTTTCCTTAACTCTGCAGTGGGTATCATATTAGCACCTGCCTCCTAGGGTTGTTGTGAGGATCAAGTGTAATAATACTTGTAACGTACTTCACATAGTGCCTGGTACATAGTAGGCTCTATATAAATGTTAGCTCTTATGATTATTATTAATAGTCTGAGAGAGCTGCCTGGGAATAGTTCGAGGTTAAGAGACATCACCATGTCCCCACCATCTAGTTTGTCTTAGAGGCTGGACCAAGGCTGCCAGTCCCGCATCAGTCCTGCTGATTTCAATGCCCACCGCCTCTCTTGTGCGTGCATCATTCTGCCCATTGGGCAGTGACGGATCAGAAGTCTGGGATATGGAGCAGCTGACTGACTTTCCCGAGGCCACAGAGCTAGTAAGGGCTCGTGAACTCCAAGGCCAGTGTTCTTTCCACTGGACCTCTGGGCCTCTCCCAGGACTGACCTGATTCTATCCACGGCAGCTCCATCCCTCCCCCCTCTTTGGTCTGTGTCGTGGTTCTGTTCAGGAAATGGCCTTGGCCAGTATTAAATTGAATTGTCTGGCCGTTTCCTGGGAGGGTTTCACCTAATTCCAGTTAATACAGTCAGACCACTCTAACTCTGAATGAGGATGGTAATAATACCTCACCTCTCATGGTGCTCAGTGCATACAGTGAGAGCCCTTGGGAAAAGCTTCCACGTTCATGCATTCATTCACAATGCTCACTGGGATTAGCCTTTATTTCCTTTGATGAATTAGGTGAGGGGAGCACAGGGAGTATTATCTGGGTTTTACAGATGAGGAAACTGAGAGATTGAGCTCACCCTTAATCTCTTCACATAGTGCCTGGTACATAGTAGGCCAGAAGACCCAGTTAAGAAGCCTGGGTCTTCTGGAATTTGGGGCCCTTCTGCGTACAGTATTTTCTTTCCTTTTTTTTGGAGGCAATTGGGGTAAGTGACTTGCCCCAGATCACATAGCTAGTATGTGTCTGAGGCTGGATTTGAACTCAGGCCCTCTTGACTCCAGAACCCATGCTCCTAGCTGCCCTTGCAAATGGTACTTTCTAAGCTAGAAGGACTACAAAATTCCTCTCTTCCAGAATACCTCAGAAAAGCTTAAAGACCTCCAGGGAGTGGGGAGCTCACTCCCTTTCCAAGCAGCCTGTTTCACTTTGGATGACCGTCCTGGTCAGGACAGCTCTAATCCTTACTTTAAGCCAAAATCTACCTCCCTATTACTTGACCCTGATTGTGGCCTGTTGGGGAGCCAGACAGAACAAGATCTAATCCTTCTGGCCTGGGGGAGCCCGGTAAGCGAGGCTGCATGCCTAATCCAGCGGAAGCACCGCTGGCAGAGCCTGACTGTCATGGTCACTAGCTGGGTGAGTCTAGGGGAGTCATGTCCATGTTGGACCTCAGGCCCCTTATGTGCCAGATGAGTTCATAGGAGCAGATGATTTCTAAGCGGCTTCAGTTCCTAGCTCTCTGTTCCCATGAATTGTTCAGGGAAGGATCAGAACTGTAGAATATTTGAGGGGGGAATATTGTAGAACTATGAAAGTCAAAGCCTTGTCTCATCTCAAATTAAATTGGATATTTAGTAAAATGTGCTACATTCATGGAAAAATGTTTCATTTCACCTTATGTCAACAAACAGTTTTTTTCAGTACCTCCTACATATAGGGCCCTGGGCTCAGGCCTGGGGGTAGAAACGTTTAAAAAAATTGTTACTGGGGTAAATGATCTCTAAAATGTCTTCCTGCTCAGACCTTGACTCTGATTCTGGTCTGTACATGGTGGAAAGACTCACTCTCTGAAATGCCAAGGCCCAAGTGCCTGTGGGGAAGGGAGGAGGGGAAGAGGAGAAGGGAGGCAATGTCCACCTGTGGTCATTCTCATGCCCTTGGCCTGGGCTTCACGTCTCCAAACAGGCCAGCGTTGCCTAGAAAGCAGGTCACCTCTGAATGCTACATTGTTTCAGGGGTCACAGAGGAAAAGGCAAGCCTCTGTTGGGTGAGGGCTGGCATGGATCTGAACACCCTCCCCCCATTCTAGGGGAGAAGAGCAGAGGGTCTTTGTCTGAAGGATCAGGACCCCTTCCTTTCTCCTCCCTCCCCACCAACCCAGATGGGCCAACTGGGCTCTCAGATTGACCGTGTCTTTCCCAGAACACAGGGAGGTCTATGCAGAGGGTCATTCCTGGGCAGGCACAGCCCTGCTGCATCCCCAGTCAGGACTGAGGGTGGAGAGAGCTCATTTTCTCCTTCCCACCCAGATGTCCAGGGTGCTAGAAGGTGTCAGGAAGCATGACCGAATGGAAGGGTCAGCCAACACAGAGTCATTTTGAATCCTGGTTCTATCTACCATTTACTAGCTGAGTAATCTTGGCAAGGAAAGGCATTGCCCCTTCCCTGGGCCTCAGTTTCCACATCTGTCCCCAGCTGCTAAGGTCTCCTCCTACCCTGACTCACCATAGATTGATGCAGCTTATGTTTTCATGTTTCCTTTCATAGAATGTAAACTCCTTGGGGGCCAGAATGGTTTGATTCTTGTCTCTCCCAGCTCCTAACACCGCGGCTGGCACATAGGAGGTACTTAACCCAGTTCTTTTTTGTGATGGCCGTCTGGGTGAAGCCTAGGGACTCCTCAGAATGATGCTTTTATTTATTTATTTTCTTTTTCTTTTTGTGAGGCAGTCAGGCTTAAGTGACTTGCCCAGGGTCACACAGCTGGTGAGAATGATGCTTTTAAATGCCTAAAATAAAACCAATTATAATTAAAGAAAGATATAATTTTTCCCATCCAAATTCACAGACTCCATGGACTCTGTCCATGGATTCCTTGGGGTCCCATGGAACCCAGTTTAAGAACCTGATGTGGTCCCATCCTCTCATTTTACAGATGAGGAAAATGAGGCCCAGAGCGACTCATGACTTACGTGACTGTCACACAGTGGTTAAGGAACAGATCCTGAGTCTGAATGAATGAAAAAGCATACGCTTCTCACTCCAAGTCTAGAACCCAGTTCTGAGCTCAGCCAAACTGATGATAATAAATGAAAGGAAAAGCACATACTAAGTGCTGACTGTGTGCCCTGAGCACAGTGCTAAATGCTGGGGGTACAAGGGAAAAGGAAGTCATTCTTTTTTCTCCAGGAGCTCACACTGTATTTGGGGGAGACAACATTTTAAAAAAAAGTTTCTTTTTTTTCAGGGCAGGTGGAGAGCCAAAGAGGTTACTTAGGGTGCAGGTGTGGCACAGATGGGAGGCCCACGGGTACTTAGGCTATGTCAGCGGGTTGGATTATAGTGCCAAGGATATGGAAAGTGTAGAGGCAGGGGAGATGGTAAGGCCTAGTGATTCCCCATCTCATTGGAAGGAACAGAGTTGGTGATTCTCACTTTATCTAAGCTGTATGAGCAGTCAAGCAGCTCAGATGAGTCCTGGGGAGTGGGGGGCTAGAGAAGGCCAGGTAAGAGGGAATCCCTCATAATGGCCACTGTGTCTGCAGCCAGGATAGGTTCTGGATAGTCAGGCCTGGGAGAAGAGATAAGGGGCGAGAGAAGGGGAAAATGGAGTCCCTGTGGACATCTTAGCGGGTTCTGGGCAGGCTACCTTTTGCCTTATTCTCTCAGATATAAAATGCCGAGGAACTTCCTCTCTTTAGCATGTTACAGCAGAGTAAAATAGAGGTGACTTACCTTTTCTGGGCCTCAGTTTCCTCCTTTTGACTCTCCTGCCCTTGGAGATCATCTGGTCCATCTCACCCAACCAAATTTTACAAATGAGACAGCTGAGCCCCACAGAGCTCAGTGACCACCTTCCAGGTGACAGGGGCTTTTTCTTCTAGTTCTGGGCTTGGTGGGGTGGGGGCAGGGTTGAAGAACTGAATCTTCCTCCTGCCTTGTGCACCCTTCCCACCCTTCCAGTCACCAGGGCTCTTTTCTGTTGTCAAAGGACAAAGTATCCTTCATTCCCTTCCATCACGCAGGCTCCCTTCCCAGTTCATTTCAAGACCTGTTGCACAGCTTAATCTGGTGATAAATTTGCAGTCAAATTGGATTTGTCCAGCAGGTCTGAGTGTCCCCATAAACTCCACTTCCCCTTCTAGGCCTTGGCATGGGTATTTGGGAGGCAGGAAAGGAGAGTACGAGGATGACCTCAAGCTCCACAACAGGGACCACGCCATTTACTGAAGGCCCAAGCCAGCATGTCTGAAAGGTGCTCAGTCCCTGGGCTGGTAACTGCTAGAGGCATTGAGGTGGCATAGAGGACAGAGCTCTAGGCCTGGAGTCAGGAAGATCCGAGTTCCAATCTTGTCTTAGACACATCCTCTGCATCTTGAGTCCTTCGTTTCCCTTTATCTGGTGGTAGATAGCGTTGCCTCCATGCCGATTTTTCACTGTCTCCCCAGCCAGGCACAGTGCCTGGCATAGAGTAGGCCCTTAACACATAATAATTGATTGATTTGTCTTCTGATTCTCTTTGTTTCTCTGTTCCCTTGTTCCTCTCCTCCGTGGCCCAGGCCCAAGTATGGCGGCAAGTACTGCGTAGGGGAGCGGAAGCGATTCCGTTTGTGCAGCATCCAGGCCTGCCCGGCTGACCGGCCCTCTTTTCGCCACATCCAGTGCAGCCAGTTTGATGCCATGCCTTACAAGGGAGAACAGTACAAGTGGGTTCCTGTGTCTAACCACAGTAAGTCACTGTCAGAAACCATGGCTTGCTCTCTTGGGTAGCTTCCCTCCCTCTCCTGAGCCTGTCAGCTCTAAAGATTTAGGCCACCTTTGCTCCGCGTCCCACCCTGGCACCTCTAAGGACACCCCCAAAGGGCTGTCCATCCTCTATCACTTGGGGGCATGGTTGCTGTTTTGAAGACTTTTTTGTAGCCTTGCAAATAGCTACTGGCCTGGCCCAAATTGTACTCCACTAGTTGAATGCCCTTAATCAGGGGCTACTTGATTAGACTTTTAACCATATGCAGAGAGTGAGAAAGAAACAGTCCCTGACCTCAAGAAGCCATTATGCTTTCTGTTATTTTTCAATCATGTCTGACTCTATGTGACCCCTTTTGGGGGTTTTCTTGGCAAAGGTACTGGAGTGGTTTTTCCCTTTCCTTCTCCAGCTCATTTTACAGATAAAGAATCCGAGGAGAAAAGGGTAAGTGACTTGTCCGGGGTCACACAGCTAGTGAGTATTGCAACAGAGTCAGGAGTTCAAATCCCGCCTCAGACACTTATTACCTGTGTGACTTTGAGCAAGTCACTTGGCCTGAATCGGTCTCAGTTCCTTTATCTGTAAAAATGGGGAAATAACAACATCTGCCCTCACACAGTTGTATGAGGATCGAATGAGGTAACAGGTAAAGTGCTTTGCAAACTTTAAAACACTTTATAAATGCTAGCAGTTAGTATTATTATTAATACTAATTATCATGTTAATCAATCAATCAATAGACATATACTAAGCACCTACTATGTGCTAAGTGCTGTCTGCTTATTTTCTCAGGGGAACTTTCTTTTTCTTAGCTGGTAAAAATTTTGGTGAGAGGCAGCATGGTCTAGTGGTTAGAGAGCCTGCTTCCAAGCCAGAAAGCCCCTGCTTCAGGTCCTATCTCTGACCATACGGCCTGGGGCAGTCTGGGCAAATCACTTAATTGGTGCTCCAGTAATCTCTCTAAGAATGTAATGGGGAGAGAAGGTGCTGCTCTGCATTGATAGGATTTTCATTTCCTGAGGGTTCACAGGTCCAGTTAAAATCCAAAATGGCCCCTTTTCTGAGCTGAATTGTTTAGAGACTCTGCTTTAGCTAGTTGGGAATGCCTAGGTCTTCCTCTCCCCAGAGACCCAAGCCATGACATTCCTAAAAATGGGCTCCTTCCCCTGGCCTGCATCTTGGGGAATGACGCTCATGGCTGGCCAGTGCTTTCTGATCTCTCCTCTCTCTCCTCCATCCCTATAGTTAATCCCTGTGAGCTGCACTGCCGGCCAACAAATGAATATTTTGCAATTAAGCTTCGAGATGCTGTTGTGGATGGGACCCCCTGCTTTGAAGGAAACACCAGCCGGGACTTATGCATTAACGGGATCTGCAAGGTATGCCCCTGCCTCCCCTGCCCATGCCCGTCTCTGGGCCCAGACCAGAGGGGCTCAGGGGCAGAAGGGGTGGGAGGGGAAGCCATGGGCAGCATGAGGAGGCTAAGCCTGTCCTCAAGCTGCCGTGGGGCTGAGTGTCCAAGGGCTTGGGCCGCAGAGACATCCTGTCCTGGGCTGCGCACTGCCTGGGTGGCGAAGAACCAAAGCAGTTCTCAGTGTTTTCAGCCAGAGCAACTCATGAAGAAAGACCAGCCACTGAGGTATGAAGGGTCTCAAATAAAATAACCTTGGGTCCATCAAGGATATGTGAAATCCTCCATGTTAGCCCCCAAGGAGAAGACAAAGAGAAGACAGGCCCCTGGCTTCAGGGAGCTCTCAGTCTTGCCCAGGAGACAAGATACCTGCACTAATCTCAAGGAACAGGACAGGATTTTCTCCTTTCACGTTGAGCCATGATTAGAATACATAATCCAGTATGGTCTAATAGGAAGAGCATTAAATTTAGAGTCTGAGGACCTGGCTACCTTGGGCAAGGCACTGAAGCTCTCCGGACCTCAGTTTCCCCAACTATGAAATGAGGGAGTCGCACTACAAACCTTTTTTGGGGGGTGAGGGGAGGGGAGAAGGACCAGACCTATGATGTCATCGGAACTGAATACTCCCAGTAGGGAACATCCTTCCGCCCATGTAGATTGGCACCTCCTCTGTAACTTGGAGTCTTAGAGAGTTCCTAGGGACACTGAGAGCACAAATGACTTATCCAGGGTCATACAGCCAATCTGTGTCAGAGGAGATAACTGAGCTGAAGTCATTCAGACCCAAACCCCCACACGAGACCTTAGCCACTTCCCTAGAGCACCTCTCACTGGGTGTTCTTCGAAGGTGTCTTCTAGACCCAAATCCTACCCTCCTATTCCAAGGGCTGCCATTACTGATCCCTGGACCAGTCTCACCTCTTGGGACCTCAGTCTCCTCATCAGGGATTAAATACCTCTACAATCCCTCCTAGCTCTGAATCTGTGATCTTATAAACAACACCAAGCAACTCATCTGGGTCTCCCTGCAGTCCCCAAAGGAGATGAAGCAGGAGCTGGGGAGGACAGGATGGTAGGTCTGGAGGCAGCACCCCAGAAGCCGAAGACCTGGGTTTGAATCTTACCCAGCTTTATGACCTTGTACAAGTCCCTTGTCCCTGAGCCTCCATCCCTTCTCCTGCCAAAGCTGGTCTCTGAGGCCTTTTCCAGCTCAGAAATAGAAAGTCTGGTTCCTGAGCCTGGAAAAACCATTTCCCACAAAAGAAAAAAAAACACAAAAAGATGAAAAGCCAACTTTGTAGCGTAAAGGTGGATGACTGGGGCTTTTTTTTTCTGATAAAGGATGAGTGGGTGGGAGGTTTGGGGAAGGACAGAGGATGATGGGGAGGCCAGAAGGCCAGACTTACCCAAAGCACCCTCACTTTGGTTCTTCCTCCATCCATAGCGGATGGAACAGAGTAATCAGAAAGGGGGGAAAAACAGACTGAGAGAACCAAAAAAGCCCAAACCAGAAACTCTGTCAGCTAGGAGGAACCTCAGAGACCATCCTCTCTGATCCATTCCCATGGTCTCTGAGCCGGGGTCCATGCTTATTCCATCATTGCTTGCATGCTGTAGTGATGGGGAAGTCACTACCTTCTGAGACAGCCCATTACACTATGGGGTAGCTCTAGTTGTTAAAGAGCATTTTCCCTGGTTAATTGTTTTCTTTTATTTGGTTAGGATGGCTTTAGCGAGCTCTGGGGGAGTTCAACCGAGGCAGCTCTGTATCTTGTCTTAGAATGTTGCCTGGGGCACTGAGAGGGAAGCCCAGGGTCCCATAGCCAGGATGAGTCAGAGGTGGAATGTGAAACAAGATCTTCCTGGCTGCAAGGCCCCCTCTCTATTGACTGGGCTACACTGACCCTCTGGTCTCCCTTCTAAGAAGCATCAGTGGCTTCTAGGTACTTCTAGAGGAAAAAACACGCATCTCTCTCTCCGGCATTTAAACCTTTACAATCTAGCTCCAGCCTCTCCAGACTGATTTTCCATTACTCCCCCTCAAAGACTCCACATTCCAGATGAACCGGCCTTTTTTGCCATTGCTTGTCCGTGACACTCTTGCCTTCATGCCTTTACACAATGTTTCCTCCATACCTGGAATGCCCTCCCTCCTCATCTTTTCCTCTGGGTCGCAGTCCAGAGTGTGTGAGAAACCAGCCTGATAGCCACCCTCCACTATGCCGTTATGCCATGAGGCCAAGCGCTGGGTGGGGACTCGGGCTGAATCCTTGTACTAACTGTGAGAGGCAGTGGAGGAAGAAGAGTGACAGGAGGGAGGGCTGAGCTGCTGGAGGCCCCATGGGCAATGGGGTAACGGGGGTGGGATGGGATTTAAGAGTGAGGCAGGAAAAATCATCAGAGAGCAGATTCTGAGGCATTGCTTAGATGAAAGCTCCAGCTGGTGGTGGTTTGGGGGGTTGGGGTGTTAAGCCTAACAAGCTGAAAAGTAATATTAGCTAACATTTCTATGGTGCTTCCTCTGTGCCAGGCAATGTGCTAAGTGCTTGACAATCATTTCATTTGGTCCTCACAACACTCTGGGAGGTAGGTGTTATTATTATCCCCATTTTACAGTTGAGGAAACTGAGTCAACCAGAGGTTAAGTGATTTATTTAAGGTCACCCAGCTACTAAGTGTCTGAGGCCGTATTTGAATTCAGACTGGCCCTAGAATAGTGACTTTCCCATCCCTTAGGCCCTCTGCTCTCCATCCTGCCTCCTGCATTCTAGGGTCAGATACACTGCATGAGAAGCTCTGCTTTAGGAAACACATTCCTTCAAATATTCTGTGATTCTGTGAGATGGATTAGGGGGCGGAGGTGAGTCAGAGCAGTGCAGTGGAATTAGACAGTGGGGGGAGTCTTGAGATTTAAATCCCAGCTCTGAAGCTCCTAGCTTTGTCTTGATGGGCAAATCACTCTGGGCTTCAGTGTCTGCTTCTGTAGAATGAGGATGGTGCTAGGAGCACCACCTACCACCTACCTGGTGGTTGTGGGGACGGGACTTTGGAAGCCTCAAAACACTCAAAATGAGTTATTCTCCCAGTGATCTATTCTTTTTTTGGTCTACCCAAGTTTATGTGTGTTTGTGGACCACTATTAACTCTTGGAAGAAATATATTCTCCTCTGTTTAATATCTGAAGCTCTTCACAGTCCAGGTCCTTCTGACTTTTTCTGTCTCACTATGTGTTCCTCCCCCCACCCCCACTCTTCAGTCCGGCCTTCTGAGCTTGCAAAGATACATTTCCTATCTCTGCCTTTGCACTGGCTGAACTCCATGCCTGAAATGCTCTCCAGGACTCTTACCTCACTTCAAGTGCCCCCTTATGTATAAAGTTTTTGCTGGTCCTCCCAGCTGCTAGCATCTTCCTTCTCTACCCAATACCTCCCTCCTCAAGTTACCTTGGGTCTGTTTTATGTGTGTTTAATGTGGAACTCTGTGTGTGTGTGTGTGTGTGTGTGTGTGTATGTGTGTGTGTGCATGCGTGCATGTTGTTTACCCTGTTAAAATGCAAGCTCCTTGAGGGCAGAGGCTGTTTTGCGTATGTCTTCATATCCCCCCTGTCTATCAAGGTGCCTGGCACGTAGCTTAATCAATATTTGTTGATTGATTGCTCCTGCCATCTATACAGAGTACCTGCCAGTCCCATGCTGATGAGGTGGGAGACCATCTGGGCTGAGAGGCAGAGCCAGAGAGGCTCCTGGGAAGGGTGAGGGAAGGTCCGTCAGGCGCTGACCTCCATGGCTGGCTGTGTTTCAGAATGTAGGCTGTGACTATGAGATTGACTCCAATGCCGTTGAGGACCGGTGTGGCGTGTGCCACGGGGATGGCTCCACCTGCGAAACAGTGAAGAAGACATTTGATGAGACTGAAGGCCTGGGTAAGGCGCAGGGTCGGGGTGAGGAAGCAGAGGTCTGGGGCAGAGCACAGAGCTGCTTTCCCCTTTGTTATCCAGAATTCAAAAACAGGCATCAGGTCCCCACTCTTCCTTTCAGGATTTAGAGCAATGTTTCTCAAAGCATAATCCAGGACCTTTAGGAGTCCTTGAGATCCTTCTGGGGGTCCTTAAGGTCAAAATCTTTCATCATAATATCAAGACATTTTAATTTCTGGTAAAGTATATATCAATAGATGTGACCCACATAAATAAAAGCAAGCTCTTTGGGGAGGAAGCCTCAACAGTTTTTAAGAGTGTAAAGGTGTCCTGAGTCCTCAAAAAGTTTGAGAACTGATGATTTAGAACGAAGCCTGCACAAAAGTGACTGGTCTAAATCTCCCCTCCTTGGGCCTCCAACTCCACCCTTGTTCCCTAAGCAGATGGCCTCTCTGTTTATTTCACCGGCCTTGAGACTTGAACCCTGTATCTGCGCATCCTTACTTCTTCACATCTAAAACGTGGTCTTCGCTCATCTACTCTTCATTCCCTTCAACCTCAGAATGCAGTGGAAAGATTCCTGATTCTGGAGACAAACTGGGTTCAGATTTTACTTCTGATGCTTATTACCCATGTGACCCTGAGCAAATCACATTCCCCTCCCCAGGCCTCAGTTTCCTTACCTGTAAAAATGAGGGAGTTGCACTAGATGGCCTGTGAGGTCTGTCTAGCTCTAGGATGCTAGCTTCCTAATGTATCCCAATGTGTCCTTGATCCCCTCTTCTCTCCTCTGGGAACTGCTCCTTTCATCATTCTCTCCTTTCCACCTTCAGTCTCTCCTCTCCTGGATCTTTTTTCCTCAACCTACAGACATGCACTTTACAAATATTATCTCATTTTACCATTACAGCTAGGTCCGGGTCTGGATTTGAACTTGGGTCCATCCTAACTCCAGACCCAGGGCTCTATCCCCTGTGCCACCTAACTACCTTCCTCTTTCTGGGCCTGTTTCATAAGCTGTACAATGAGAAGGTTAGACTAGCTTTCCTTAGATACTTACTAGCTGTGTGACCCTGGACAAGTCACTTAATCTGTCTGTTTCAGTTCCTTCATTTGTAAAAATGAGGATATTAACAGCCACTACCTTCCAGGGTTATTATAAAATGAGATAACACTTGCAAAGCGTTTTGCAAACCTTAAAGCACTATACACATGCTAGCTATCATTATTATTATGGGTATTGTTATTATACCTCCCTGGGCCTCAATTTCCTTATCTGAAAATGAAGAGGTTGGGCTAGATGGCTTCTGAGGTCCTTCCCTGTGATTCCTCCTTGTTGGTTTTCTCTTCTCCCTTGGTTTTTGTGACTCTCCTGCTTCTCCTCTTACTTCTCTGTTCTTTCTTGGTCTCCTTCATTCTCCCACTCCCTAATTGCTCTGTTCTCAGCGTCCTCCTCAGTTCTTCTGGTGTTCTTTCCTTTTTCATTCTTGTTCACTTTTACAGCTCCTGGTATCACCTCTTCACAGATGACTTCCATATTTACATCACCAGCCTTATTGCTTTTATCTACAGGCCATGTCCAGTTGGATATCTTGCCATCAGTCTACTTATACTGTCCCAAACTAAACTTATCGTCCTTTCCCCCAAACTGGCTCTTCCTTCCTTATTTCTGTTGAAGAGACCATCTTACTACTTCTGGTCATCCATGCTGAAAATCTCTGAATCATCGTTGACACTGCCTTCTCCCTCACCCCCCCCCACCTCCATTACATCCAATGAGCTGCTATGTCTTGTCAGTCTCACCTCTGCAATGTCTGTTGTGTGTGAGGTGCCCCCCCACCCCAGCTCTAAATCTGTAATCCTAAATTTTTACTGAATTGTCAAGGATGCTTCCACAGGAGCCCGTGTTCTCCATCCATTTCTTTTTCTCCTCCATTTTCTGCTTATCTCTCACTCCATCCTCCCTCTAGTTTTCTAGCCATCTCATCAAAAATTTCTGTTAAAAACCGGTTTTCTAGTGACTGCTCCATTAAGAATCCCAAGGTCAGCCCTGCTCTTAGCCAGATGCTTCTTTGCCTTTCAGAAAGCCAACCTCTTTCTGGACTGTTCTTTGAGAACAGACTCCCAAAGGACTTTGGGAGGTCTGTTCTTGTAACAGCAAACTTCTCCCTGTTCCTCTAAGTTTCTCTCTGGAGTTCCTCTCATCCTTGCTCCAGCTCCTATAGGCTGAATGAGGGAGAAGGGTGAAATGTGCACTTTTAAAAAACAAACCATAAATTGTGGAAGTCTGCAGTTTCATATGCAGTCATTTTTTAAATTCTTGTTTGAATGTTTTGGTCGATGGTCATGAAGTTCAGAATAGTTTAGAAGCATGACCTTTACCAGGGAGCAAAACCTTCAGCTCAAGGGGAAGAGTTGAGAGAATGATTTCAGATCTCCATCAGTGAGAGGAGAAGGTTGGGGTGAGGGTAGGACACCTAAGGGCTTTCTTAGTCACTCTGAACTCATGTCTTTTGGGTGGGTGCCTGCTCTGCCCATAGCTGAGGCCGTCCTTGTCTGTGGGCAGATGGAAGGGGTGTTTCCATGGGCTCCTCTCTAGCTGAGGGAATGTTTGAATGAGGATGCTTGAACCATTTCCAGGGTACGTGGACATTGGGCTGATCCCAGTAGGCGCAAGAGAGATTCGTATTGAGGAGGTTGCTGAGGCTGCGAACTTCCTGGCACTGAGGAGTGAGGATCCAGAGAAGTATTTCCTAAATGGCGGGTGGACCATCCAATGGAATGGCGACTACAAAGTGGCCGGGACCACCTTCACATATGAGAGAAACGGGAACTGGGAAAACCTCACCTCCCCAGGACCCACGTGGGAGCCCATCTGGATTCAGGTATATCTACGCCCTAGGCTGCAAAGGGAGCCCCATGGGGGTAAAAAGACATTCCTGGTGACACAAGTCATTAGTCTTGAGCAGCTTCTAGTTTGGTGGAGGAGACCAGCTCCCAGTCCCCTGGGATCTCCCAGTCTGGGGAAGGCATTGGCTTAAAAACAACTCAGTTCATGTTTTTGGTGTGCTTATGAATTTGTAAATCCCATGGGATAGTAAGAGTATTACTATCCCCATTTTACAGATGAGAAAACTGAGGCTCAGAGAGGGAAATTGAATTGTTCAAGGTAATGCAACTACTAAGTGGTGGAGGCAAAAGGTGGATTCAGATCTTCTGACTTGAATTTAAGTCTTAATATCTTCCCACCAGTCAGTCACCAATAAGCATTTATTAAGTACTTACTGTATACCAGGCATTGTTATAAGTCCTGAGGATACAGACAAAGGCAAAAACAGTCCCTATAGCCTCAAGGAGCTCACATACCAGGAGGAGGAGACGAAATGTAAACAACTATGTACATATAAGCTTAGCACAGTGCTTGACACACAGTAGGCACTGAATAAATACTTGACTGGCTCAGAGCCAGCATTTATATGTGCTTCAAGGTTTGCAGAGTAGTTTACAAATGTTTTCTCATTTGATCCCCACAATGACTCTGGGAAGTAGGTGCCCTATTATTATTATCCCCATTTTATAGCTGAGGATACTGAGGCAGACAGAGGTGGGTCAGATGCCCAGAGTCACAGACCTAGTAAGTGTCTGGTCTTCCTAACTCCAGGCCTTGCATTCTATCCACTGAACCACCTCACAGCAGAACAAATAGAAGGTAATCCCAGAGGGGAAAACCCTAGAATGAAGGAGGACCAGGAAAGGCCTCTTGAAGAAAGTGGGATTGGATGTGAGACGTAAAGGAAGCCAGGGAATCTAAGAGGCGGAAGGGAGGCAGAAGAACATTCTGGGCTCTGGCAACAGCTAGTATGGACCCCTGGGGCCAGGAGAGAGCGAGCATGTCACGTTCTAGGAACAAACAGGCCAGGGTAGCCAGAATGCATGGAGGACACTGGGAGGTACCAGGTTAGGAAGGAAGGTGCCGGGTTATCATCTGCTTTAACTGCCAAAGGACGGACTGGATGTTTGGAGGTAATAGGGAGCCCCTGGCAGGTACCAGGGTGCAAAGGACAGACCTACACTTTGGCATCAGAGTGGAGGATGGGTTGGTGTAGGCAGAGACACCAGGGAGAAACCAGTTAGAAGTAGGCATCCAGATGATGAGGGCAGATACTAGGGTGGTGTCTGTGTGAGCAAAGAGAAGGGGGACATAGGAGAGAAACAGAACGAGGGGAGAAATGGAAAGATTTGACAGTGGATTTGATAGATGCTGTGTGTGTGTGTGTGTGTGTGTGTGTGTGTGGGCAAGGGGGATCCTCAGCTTATGAGCCCAGGGGACTGGGAGGATGACAGTAATAAGGAAGTTTGGGGGTGGGGAAGATAACGAGTTCTACACAGCCTGCCCCCTTGGTGGGCATAGTGCCCTCACTGACCAGGCCAAACAACCCATATGCCACAGATATAGTCCTTGGAACGGGAATCAGCACATTTTCCTATATCTTGTATGTACTCAGTTATTTATTCTTGTCCTGGTTCTGCTTCCCTGGTCTGTGCCTCAGTTTCCCCACTTATAAAATGGCCAGGATGTTCCCCACCATCAAGGTGATGTGAAGTCACATGGTGCGTAGGCCCAGTGCAGGATCATTAGGAGATGCCAGTGTTTGCCTTGTGGAGGGCAGATTGCATTATCCTCATTTCATAGAGATGATCAACAAGGCTCCTGTACATCCCCTAGTGATGCCCAGCTTGACCTGGTCAGATCGATGATTTGAGTTTGTGAATGAAGGATCAATCCTTCCCCTTTCAAAATAAATGCTGAATTATCAGCCTCTGGGGGATGGGGAGGTCCAGGGGAATATTGCTGGTTCTGGGGTACTTAGCACCCTCCCCCACATTGGGCAGACCTGTCCCTCAAGCCTGGAGTGTTATTTTTGTTGGAAAGCCTTACTGGAAAAGGGGTAAAAGAAGTTTCTGATATGTCTAGTACAGGAGATCCTTAAGGGAACACAGCTGGCTGGGCCTCCCCTCCCCTTCACCAAATAACACAGAGACCAAGATTTCTTCTCTGTCTTCTGCCCTGTGCCCCTAGACCCCTTCGGGAGATTGCTTCCCAGGCCTATGGCCCATTGCCTGTTAGCTTAGATCAGCCCTTTGTAGCATGGTGTCCCTAATAAAACCTAATTTCTAGATGTTTTGAATAGAGACTAAAATTTTCCTCAGGTCTAGGGCATTTGTATTGAGAAGGCATGAAGTAATTTTAGGGCTCTCTCCCTCCTGCAAATCAGACTCCTATCTTGCCAAAGTTGGGTCCCCTGCTTGGATCCCCTCCCCTTACCCCCAACTTATACCTGGGCCAGATGCACCGGAAATCTGGGATTGATCCCAGCTGGCCCAGCTCACCCTCCCAACTCCTTCCATTTCCCTGCTGAGAACTGAAGTCCAGTTACTGGTTGGCAGCCTGCCTGAGCCAGAGGCAGGAAAGGGCCAGCAAGAGCTGGGGGGGCTATAAATCAAAGCTCTTCAGATGGACAGATGGAAAGACAGACAGACAGATGAAAGAGAGAGATAGGATGAAAGAATAGATGGATAGATAGATAGATAGATAGATAGATAGATAGATAGATGGATGGATGGATGATAGATAGAATGAATGAATTAATGGATAGACAGACAGACAGAGATAGATGGATAGATAGATAGATAGAATGAATGGATAGATAGAGAGAGAGATAGACAGGTAGATAGACAGATAGATAAATAGATGGATGGATAGATAGAATAAACGAATAGATTGATAGACCAACAGACAGGCAGATAGATAGAATAGAAAGACAGATAGACAGACATAGACATGGACAAACATCTAACAGCAGAATCATATGGAGAGCATCTCCAGAAAAGAAGGAAGCCATCTGTCCCCAACCTTGTAGCCCTGTCCTTGTCCTTCTGAGACTTGAAAGCAGCTTCACGCTGGCCAGAGAACCTTGGCAGAAGGAGTGTCCCAAGCTAGGCACTGCACAGGATGCATCCCAGGAGCAGTTTTCAGTGTGAGGTCACTTGTAGATTGACAAGTACAGAGGCAGCTGAGGAAATGCCCCTGGGCTGGGGGTCAGGACACTCTGGTACAAGCCCCAACTGTGCCACTAAATAACAGTGTGACCCTGCAAGTTGCTTAACCATTCTGGGCTGCTGTCCCCATTTGTCAAATGAGGGGACTATGCCTGCCCTGCCTACTTAGGCAACTGCTTTCTCAGTGAATAGAGTGCCGGGCCTGGAGTCAGGGAGACATGAGTTCAAATTCAGCCTCACGCACATTACTGTGTGACCCTATGCGAGTCACTTAACTTCTGTCCATCTCAGTTTCCTCAGCTGTAAAATGGGGATAATAATAGCACCTACCTCCCAGTGTTGTGAGGATTAAATGAAATAAAGCTTTGTAAACACTAGCTATATTATTATCATCATTATTCCCTGGAAGGATGTTGTGAAGATTCACTTATAACTTTTCCTGGTTAGCATTAATTAATTAGTGTTTGTTATGATTCTTTTCACTTCAATGCCTGCTATGGAGGAGGGAGGTACTCTGCTCAGCACTGGGAATACAAAGAGAAAAATGAAAAAGTTCCTGTCCTCAGGGGTCTTATATTCTAAGGGAGATAACATGTACACAAATACCTATGAAATACGTACCAAGTAATTTGAGGTTGGGGGGAGGGGAGTGCTAATAATTAGGGGCATCAGGAAAGACCTTGTAGAGAAGGCGGCCCAAGGAGATAAGTCTTGGATGGAGTTAGAGACTCTAAGAGATAGAGATGAGAAGGGATGGCCTACTAGGCAGGTAGGACAGCCTGGGCAAAGATTTGGAGGTGGAAGACTGAGTGGAGTCATGTATGGAGAAGACAAGGTAGATTAATTAGGCTGGAAACACACTATGGGTTAGAGGGAGTAACATGAGACAGTTCTGGACATATAGGTTGGAACCAGGATGCTGGCGATAGCAGTCACCCTGGAGCTTTTGTCTGTTTCTGTGGTCAATCAACAGGCATTTCTTTCCCTTAAGCACCTACTATGTGCAAAGCAGCCCTTTTTTTTTTTAAAAAAGCACCTACTATGTGCCAGGCACCAAGGTTGGTGATGGGGATTATATCCTGTACCCAGCCTTTCCTGGTCAGCACCCCAAAGCTGCTGGGGTTCCCATTTCTCCTGAGTAGAAACTCAGGCTAGTTCCACCAGCCCCTGCCTGCCCTCAAGGTGAAAGGGGGCCGGCTCCAAGTGACACAGTACTTCCTGACCTAAGCTCTGACACCCCCTTCCTGCCCCTCTAGGGCACCTAAGTCAGAGGGTGAGCTTTGAAAAAGGACTACACCAGAATTTAAAGGAAATATGGCAAGATAAACAAACTTTCATGAAGTACAAGAATGTCAGGTTTCCAATTGCATGGAAATCTTATAATATGTAATAGGAAGATGGACTTGAAATCAGGAGGCCTAGATTTGTATCCTGAGTACTTATTAGCTGTGTGACTCTGGTTGAAGCATTGAACAGCTGTGGGCCTCAGTTTCCTTATCTGTAAAATGGGGGTGAGAGCTCACGCTTTACATCCTTCATTCCTCCCCAACCCAGTACTAAATTTTTGACCACCCTACTCTGCAGGAAAAGAGTCTCATTGTGGGTACTTGAGATACTTTGTGGGCCCAAATTCTCACCCAGTTCAGACCTCCCAGGCTCCATCTACGGGGACTTTGGGAAAGTAACAAATTAGGCCCAGAGAGCCTCATTTCACAGGCCGGCAAACAAGACCCAGAGTGAATGATCCTTTGGAACTCTTCCCCCAGGGTTGTCTTGTGGCTTGTAATGTATTTGGTTTCCTTTACACTTTGCAAAAGCGTCTTTGGTTCAGAATGAGAGCCAAGGGAAGCAGGGCCTGCGCGCTATAGGAGATAGCAGCTCCCCAGAAAGATCAATAAGAAACCTTCCCTGTCCAAGCCCATCTCCAAACCCAGTAGGGTGACTTCCCCAAGGCCTGGGACCGCTTCATCTTTGACTTTGTGTCTTCAGGACTTAGAATAGTGCTTGGAACATATATATGTATGTATTTCCTATAAATGCACTGGGCTGCCTTCAGTGGGAGGCCTGAGTCAGCCCTACCAGGCTTGGGTCAGGAGAAAGCTTTCCACATGGTGGGGACTGGTGATCAGGGTGTCATCAGAATAGGCACACATATGTATAGATATAAATATATGTGTGTATATATGTGTATATGTATATATGTGTGGATACACCTACATATGTATGTGTATATGTATGTATATACATATATATGTACGTATATGGACATATAAAAATGCATTTAAATAGAGAATGAATGAATCTCTCTGGCAGGCAGGCTGGCCAAGCCCAGCACAGCCAAGAGACTGGGGGCGAGGGTTTGTGCACCCCATCCTGAGCAGAAGCTCTAGGCACTGGGGCCCAAAGGAGTGGGCCCAGCACTGCACCTATTCTGACGCCGTCCTGGTGTGTGGAAAGCTTTCTCCTGAACCAAGCCTGAAAGGCCCGACCTGGGCCTCCCACTGAAGGCAGTCCAGCGTAGAGGAAAGAGCATGGCCTGAGAGCTAAGGCTATCCTCCTAGGCCTGCTGTTAATTTACACTGTGACATGACCCCCTCTTAGACCTATTTCCCCCTCTTTAAAACGGTGGCGTTGGACTAGATGGTGTCTAAGGACAGGTGATGGTGGATTTCGAGCTTGAAGGGACCTCATGGACCATCTACTCCAACCCCCTCATTTGACTGGACGGGAAAACCAAGGCCTTGGAGGTCACATCCTGGCCAGAGTCATACGGCAAATAAAAGGAGAAGAGATTGAATTCTGTGTCGTCCTGCTCTCACCCAGGCTGTGCCCTCCTACTGTTTCCTGCCTTCTAGGGTCCTCTGAAGGGTAATGAGGTTGTGGAAGGGACCCAGTCCAGGCCAGCTCTTATGTCTAACCCATCTCCACTGGCCAAAGAGTTGGCCATTCCCTCCCCTGGCTCCCTCAGGGTAGAAAGAGCGTGCTCTAGCCTTGGACAGCATGCTGTATTCCCAGATGTTTTCATCTGGGTATTGTGTTGTCTTGTGTCCGTCCAATCCCCACAGGACGCTTTCTCCAGGGCCAGGTTGGGGGGACGCTGGGCAGCTAGTGAGATAGTCTCAATAGTGCAGGATACATGGGTGGGCAGAAGGCTGGGATTCAGATGCATTGAACGATGGGGCTTTGAGATCACCTGGTCCTGCCACCTTATTTTACAGATACAAAATCCTGAAGCCAGAAGGAATCAAGGGGCTAGCCCAGAGTCACCCAACCAGCAAGTAGAGGGGACGAGGAATTTGTTGAAATTGCATCGAGTGAGGAAAGGTAGAAGGATCACAAGGACCTTAGATGTCATCTCCCCAAACCCTCTCATTTTGCAGATAAGGAAACTGAGGCTTAGATGGGAGCCCAAGGTCACACAGCTAGTAAGTGTCTGAGGCTGGATTTGAACTTACGGCTTCCTGACTCCAGGCCCAGAGCTCTGTGTACTATGGCGCCACCTAGCTGCCTCCATCTCTCTGGGCTAGTTGCCCTAGCTGTACAATAAGGTTGGACCTGCTTCCTGGCCCTAGGAAGGTGTTCCACATAATCCAGGACTCTCTACTAGCAGAAGGGGAATTCCTATTAACCCTCCATGCAAATCCACAAGCTGTTATCTCCCTGCTCAGTGGCCCTCTGCTCAGTTCCACAAACACCCAGGACTTGATTTCCAAATCACTCCTACTCCTAAAGTGAGGAGTCCTTCCCTGGAGCAGAGGTGTCAAACTGGCTGCCTGCACAGAAATGGGGAAATGGTTAGTAAAACGTAGAAAAATACAATACAGCCTAGACAATGTTAATTTGTGGTTTTCTAAGTCCAATATGGGGCCCGCAAAGGATTCGTTTCTGTTTAACTTGACATCAGTTCAATTCAGTAAACATTTATTAAGCGCCTACTATGTGCCAGGCACTTCCCCAAGTGCTGAGGATACAAAAAAAGACAAAAGACAATCCCTGCCCTCAGGGGGCTTACCATGATCAAGGGGATAATTGCCGATTACTCACAGCCCCTTCAGCCTCCAAGGAGGGCCACATCAGAGAAGGGAGCACTGAATGGGTGTTGCCTCAGACAAACTAAGACCTGGGAAAGACCTTAGCTTAAAAAGGCTGATATCTTCCACTGTATCCTGGGCCATCTCCAGTACTCCTGATCCATATCTTGCCTCTGGACCAGATGGCTTTAGAGAGAGAGTGAGGTTGGTGACATAAGTGACCCTCCCTCACTTAAATCCAATTCACTTGCAAATCAAGACATCACCTTTCTGATGTGATCGGTTTCCATTCTATCAGAGGGTATAATGTGTATATTATTGTGAATAAATATATTGTGAATAAATACAGACCAGATGCAAGGTAGTAAGTGAGAATGGGAGGGTCCTAGCAATTGATGGGATCAGGAAGGGTGGCAGACATGTAGAAGGGAGTACTGGATCCATGCATGATTCCAGGGCATCAGAGATGAAGCATGCTGCCCACCTTGTGACAGAGGGGAGAGGGACTTGGGATGCAGAAGTACTTGGACATTTTTGGACATGACCAATGTGGGAATTTATTTTGCTTGACTTTGTTTTTGTTTTTCCTGATGGGAGAAAGGAAAGAAAAAAATGCTTGTTAACTGGAAAAAAAATTAATGATTTTTAAAAATACGAAAAGGAATGGTGCTTGAACAGAGTCTTGAAGAAAGTGAGATTCTATAAGACAAGGATCCTTGATACAGATCCTCTGCCTAGACTAGGAGCCATTCAGTTTTTATTTAAAGACCTCTAATGATAAGAGATGGTATTTGTTAAAGCTTTCAAGGTTTATAAGTTGCTTTGGAGACACTATCTTGTTTGGGTCTTACAATAACCCTGTGAAGTGGGCAATATGTGTATTATTATCCCTGTTTTGTAGTTGAGGAAACTGAGGCAGACAGAAATTGAATGACTTGCTCATGGCCACACAGCTAGTAAGTGTCTGAGGTGTAATTCAAACCTAAGTCCCCTTTCTCCAAATCTGACACCCTGTTCACTATGCCAGAATACTTCTCTTGTGAGGGGAACCCCCTTACCCTGGACCTACAAGCCCAAAGTAGAAGGCAGTGACATAAGGGATGCCAGCTGGCAGCAATCTGGGTGTGAGCTGATGAGGCCAGGACCCTGGTGGTGACAAGGGGGAGGGAGAGGAAGCCCCCAGCTTGCTAACGAGGTGTCTGGGCTGCTAGATCCAGCCAAGCAGGCTCTGCTCACAGCCTGTGGTTACAGAGCCATTGGTAAACATTCCAGAGCCAGGGGACCGGCTCCTGTTGGAAGGTGGCTTCAGGCCCTGTGGCTGCCCCCATACGTAAACATCCTCCCCACCTCCCCAACCACTGGGCATCGGTGGTTAGGCATGCTCACCGCTGCCTCGGTTTCCCCTTCCAGCTGCTGTTCCAAGAGAGCAATCCTGGTGTACGTTACCAGTACACCATCCAGAGGGAGGCAGACGGTGAGAATGAGATCCAACCTCCTGAGTTCTCCTGGCGATACGGAGCCTGGACCAAATGCACTGTGACCTGTGGCACAGGTAAGACACTGGGGCCTGGGGCAAGGAGGGCACGGGGCAGACCCTCACTGTCCTGAGATGTTGGGCTAATTACCAAGGGCAGAGGGGTCAGCTAGATGATCTCTGGAAGAGCCTGGCACAAGACATGAGAGCTGGACAGGTGAGAGCCTGGGGGTCCTGACCCCTTCTTATCTTATAGATGAAGACACTAAGACTCCCGAGAGGTAAATCTGGCTTGCCCCAGGTCACATAGAGTCAGGATTTGAACCCCGTCTTCTGGGGTTCCAATCCAGGTCACTGCTGCCTCTCCTCAGCCCTGACTGCAGGCCCCTTGGGGATGAGTTCTCACCCTTCTAGATAATTTACAAAGAAAGGTAAGACTGGCCTTCACAGGAGTCCCTGAGAGACAAGAGACAAGGAAGGAGAGGGATAAATGGGGTCTTCTTCTGGATGGAGAAGGATAAACAGCCATGTTCCCTAGGCGTGTGTCAATCAGCTGTGCAGATACTGTGTTTGCAGGTTGTGTGTGTGTGTATGTGTGTGTGTCCTACCTCTCAAGCTCAGCCCCTAAGCCAGCATCTGAGCAGGTGGGGGGAAGCATGCCTGTGGTGGGCTGTCACTCTAGAGGCAGCTCCCAACCCGGAAGCCTCTGCTGCTGCACCAAGGATTCTAAGCCAATCTCAGTTAAGGAGAGGAGAGTGTGGATGGCTGCCTTCTGTGGGGCTGCTTGCATTGGGTAGGCTCCTCAGTCAGAGTCTCAAAACCTTCAGCTAGTTGGGCTGATTCCCAAGAAAGCCACGGGCCAACCCTGAAGGTTGCTGCTCATGCCGCCCATTTCAGAGAGCCTTTTCAGGGGATGACAGGGCCTCCTGGAAAGTCCCCTGGGTTTAAAGACATAAATAACGCCTCTCTTATAAAATATAAGCCTTACAACAGTACAAACTTTCATTTTTGTCTGTGTAGGCAGCTAGGAGTAGCTAGCTATTGGACACTTACTAGCTGTGGGACCCTGTGCAAACTTTCTTGCCTCAATTTCCTCATCTGTAAAATAGGGGTAAGAATAGCACCTACCTCCCAGGGTTGTTGTGATGGTCCAATGAGATTATCTATGTAGAGTTCTTCGCAATCCTTAAAGCACTGTATAAATGCTGGCTATTGTTGCTCTTTTATTATCATCATTATTGTATCTCTCATCTAGTCCACAGACACAGGCACACAGTAAGTTCTTTATAAATGCTTGTAGGGTCATTGGTTCAAATATCGGCTCTTCAGTTTACTGCCTGTGTGACCTCTGGCAAATCACTCCTCCCTGGGCCGTAGTTTCTTCATCTATAAATGGCAGAGTTGGCTCAGATGATTTCTCACATCTTTTCCAGGTCTGGATTTTGTGATCTTAATGTATTTTATCCTTGAGAATGTGGATTGTTTCATTTTTGTATTTGTATCTCAGCATGTAGCATGGAACCAGACACATAGTAGGCACTTCATAATTGTTCATTGGTTGGTTTAAGTTCCAACTTTCCCGGTAACTGCCTGTGTGACCTTGGACAAGTTACTGAATCTATTGGCATTCATTTCTTTGTCTATAAAATGAAGGGCATAGGGGCAGCTAGGTGGCGCAGTGGGTAGAACACCAGCCCTGGAGTCAGGAGGACCTGAGTTCAAGTCCGGCCTCAAACATATAACACTCACTAGCTGTGCTGTGTGACTCTGGGAAAGTCACTTAACCCCAACTGCCTCACTAAAAAAAAAAAAAGAAGAAGAGTATAGACTACATTTCTAAGGTCCTCCAGCTTTAATGTCTGATTCTGTGATGGCTGAGGTGAATCATGGAAAGCTTCCTAGATCAAGTAAGTTTTGAGAGGAGCCCCGAAGGACAGGTAAGAAATTGTTGGGAAGGAGAAGAGGAGGAGGTCCGGATACATGCAGGGATGCATATGGGTTCACCACAGCAGGGTTTCTATAATGAGGCACAAAATTGAGACCCAAGGTCCTGTCTTCTAGACCTAGTGTGTTATCTTTCCCCCACAACTCCCCCAGAATTGGGAAGCATGAAGTTTTTGTGTGAATGGGAGTGTGAGGACCTTAATCTTGAGCATCTCAACACACCCCACACCCCAGGCAGTGATGCTCCGCTAGAGGATGTAAGCTTAGACCAGAGACTGTCATTTTGGTCCTTGTGTCCCCAGCACCTAACACAATGCCAGGCACATAGTAGGTGCTTAATCAATGCTTGTTTGTGGAGAACGTTTGAGAGTAGCTGCTGTTGCCCATCTCTGTTTCTGGACTGCTCCTGGTTGGTGGCAAAATTTCCCATCTACAAAACTTGGATAACCAAGAGTCCTAATTCCTTGGAACTTCTCCCTTTAGGATGACTCCTTGTACCCCTCTTGTTCTCTTCATCCTTCTCCTTTGGTCCCTGGTTACCTTCTTCTCCCAGGATCTTAATCCATGACCCTGGGTCCTCACAGCACCCCCCAGGATTGATTTGCCATGTATGTGGGCTTAAGAAGCCTGGCTCCGACTCCCATATCTTTATATGGGAGTCTTTCCTCCTCCACATCCAGGCCAGGTTGGCCCTCCCCTCCTTCCTTGCTCCTTTCTACCCCTCTTCCCTGACTTTGTGCCCTCTCTCCCCCAATCTGCTGCTTCCCCTCATGGCCCCTTGGTCCCCAGCTGCCTCATGTCGTATCTCAGCAGCCCAGCTGGCCTCGGTTCTGTCCCATTCCAGCTTCTCACTCCCCAGCAAGAGGCCAATGTGGGGTGGGGCCATGTGTGGGGGGCCAAGTGTTGTTGACATGTGAAAGGTTGTGGACCCCTCCCGGAAGCTTTGACCTGAGCAGCAGCCAGCCTGGGGCCAAGCAAGGCCTTGTGGCCATGGCAGAGCTTTGGTCTGACTCGGCTTTGGGGTACAGGCCTGCACCAAGGGTTTATGAAGCATCATGTGCCAGTCACTGCCCTAAGCTCAGGGATACAGGGATACCTCTCCACCTGCCCTGCCACATACACTGTTTAAGGGGATGCCCGATATCCACATTCACGCCTAGGAATTGGGACTATGGAAGAGGCATAGGTAGGTAAGGAGAGAAAAAGAGAGGGGGTGAAGAAAGAGATACAGAAACAGTGTGGGGGAGGGTTGGAAAGAGAGACAGAGAGAGATGGGGGGAGAGGGAGAGGAAAAAAGAGAGAGTGAGGAGGGAGAGAAGGAAGGAGAGAGAGAGAGAGAGAGAGAGAGAGAGAGAGAGAGAGAGAGAGAGAGAGAGAGAGATGGGGGAGAGTAGAGGTAGAGAAAGAGAGAGAGTGAGGAGGGAAGGAGGGAGAGAGAGAGAGAGAGAGAGAGAAGAGAGAGAGAGAGAGAGAGAGAGAGAGAGAGAAAGAAAGAGAAAGGGAGGGAGAAAGGGAGAGAGAGACAGAGAGAGATATGGGGGAGAGTAGAGGTAGAGAAAGAGAGAGAGTGAGGAGGGGGAGAGAGAGAGAGAGAGAGAGAGAGAGAGAGAGAGAGAGAGAGAGAGACAGAGAGAGAGAGAGGGCATTTGGCTTTTACTGTTGAGGCAGCTTGGCATGGAGTGATAGAAGTGGGCATGGAGGCTTAGTTTCTACAAGGTAAGGCAAGACTCTAGGAGATGGATGAGGGTGAAGAGAGCTCTCAGTAATAATACTTGTGCTACCCACCTCACTGAGCTCTTGGGAGGGAATGCTTTGTAAACCATAAAGTATCAAAGAAATGGGATCATACAATTCAGTTCAATGTGCATTTATGAAGCCACTTCTGCATACCAGGCGTTGTGCTAGATATACAAAAACAAACAGCAAAGAAACCATCTTTGTCCTTAGGCAGCTTACATTCTACGGGGTGGGGGGAGGGGAGGATTCTCTACAATATGTGAAGAAGCTCTACCTCTGATCTGAGTTTCAGTTCTGCTGCCAGGTTGGGAAACACCAGGGCGGATTGGCTCCTTTCCAGTACTCACAGTCTTAGAGAGTTGACTAGAACACAGAGGAGTGAAACGACTTGCCTAGGGTCGCACAGCCAAGATGTGACAGAGGTGGTTGGGGAGCTGGCTCTCTAGCCACTGCACCACACTGCCTCTATACAAACATGTGAGCCCCTTGTGGGCAGGGACTCTTTTTGCTTTCCATTGTATTTCCAGCACTTAGCACAATGCCTGGTATGTGGTAAGTGCTTAATAAATATTATTGACTGACTGAGCAGTGCGAAGTCTGTCGAAGACAAGACATACTGCCATCAAGAAGGGAAGAATGCAGATAGCGGGGGGAATCGGGAAAGGCCTCATATAGCAGGTAGTGCCCATGCTGTGCTTAAAAGTCTGCTCGGGTTTACTCTGATGAGTGAGAGCCTTCCAGAGGGGGGCACACTGCCTGTGCAAAGACACAGAGATGGCAGATCAAGTAGAACAGGAGAGCCAGAGGAGAACGGCCAAAGGGAAGGAGCATGAAGTGAGGCCGGAAGGGTGGCTGGGAGCTGGACTGGGATGGACCTTAAATTCCAGGCTGAGGAGTCCATATTCTATCCATCCTAAAAGCAAGAAGGAGCCATTGTGTGTTCTTGAGTAAGGAAGTGATATGGTCAGATCTGGGTCTGAGAGACACCACTCCGGTACCTGAACAGAACAGGAGAGACTGGGATTTACAAGGAGTAAATGTGCTACGTTGTGCTTGGGTTCCCAAAAATCCACTTTGAAAACAAGGTGGGGGAGGTGTGAGTGAGACAGCAGCTCGTCAGAAAACTATGCGGGGAGGTGAGTGGCCCTTACACCTGATCTATGGCCTCTGGCTTATAACACAGGAATAACGGGGTCCTGGCCAGGGATGAAATACAATGAACAAAGAATACGTCCTGCAAATCTAGACAAAAGGGCTTGAGACTGAAAAGCAGTGAGGAAAAGGAGGGAGGGAGAAGGAAAACACTAGCCACATGTATCCAGCAAGCTGGATGCCAAAGAGGGCACCTAGAATGGTGGGAGAAGAGTCGCAATGGAGATGTTCGGAAATTGTTTTGT